CTCAAGACCTACTTATTTTCCAAGGCTTTTGGATCTCGCTGATATTACATGTCTTACAAAGTTTTCTTTCTATTTTAATTCTTTTATTATATTATTCCTCTGTTCAGCACTTTGGCCGACACTTGATGTCTTTTAAATGTGCTATATAAATAAAGTTGACTTGACTTGACTTGACTTGACTTGACTTGTTGTTGTTGTTATTAATAATAATAATAAATAATATTCAAAATGACTGTTAGTTTTACTAGAGTCAGATGTCTAAGCTTCCCAGGATCACCATTTACAAAAGAAGACTGTAGATACTAAAATTCTTGCTCACCTCAGAGTTTAAGTATCCTGATCCTCAGTGTACGTTACTTTCAACTCACTGATATTTACTGTTACAAGTCATGGTTTTTCTACAATTTTGTGATCCTTTGGCCTTGTGTCTGGAGTCCAAATATACCTTCAAATAACCAAAGTGACAGCGACCTCTAATGGCCATTATCCCTCAGGGATAACTTGAGCCATTATGAGCAACAACAGACTTCAGAATATATTTATAGGAATCCCTGTCTGTGTTAATTGGTCAGGTGGATTCATAACTTCTCACAACACCAGATACATTTTACACCTTACATCCCAACAGGTTGATTTTTGGTTCATCAGGACGTAGTGTTTTTAAACCCTACATCAACCTTTTGGGATTTACTTACCTGGATGATTCAGCATGCATCAACACACTCTGCACCTTTCAGATATTAATGTGTGTTGTTGTGCAACGGTGACAAAAGTTCTTCTAAAAGTCCGGAAAATTAATGAAGAAAGGCTCCGCCAAAGGCTCAACCTTAAAACAAGCAAACGTTTCCCTAAACCACCACTTAAAACATCAACATGACAAACTGGAACAGATGGAAACATACACGTTCATGATTTTGTACTGCCTGTCTGTATTCTTTTATCATTTGTTGGCCAAAGACAACTTTTTTTTTCCCGTGGATTTTAAAGTTAAGTCACTTTATATCAAATAAACAAATATACATCACATCAAAGTCAAAAAGCTTATTTTTGATTTAAAGGGCCAGTAGTTCTGACCTTTTAGTGTTCCAATGTCACATAACCAGTAGCCTTTATATCATCACCATTAAGCCCAATCTGATTGCCAATGCAACCTTTGTACACAAGGTCAACATGTTTCCTTTTCCTCATTCGTTCCCCTCTGAAGTAGCTGAGCTGAGAAGGTGGCGTATGCAATAAAGGAGGGAACTGCAGTAGCTAAGTAAACCTGTTCCTCTCTCAGGTTCGGCCTTTGGGTCCAAAACCTGTGCCAGTTATGACTGTTACAACAGCAAAGATGGCGTAAAATACAGAAGTTCTGATTCCAAGTTGTGGCTACTTTTAAAAGACATGAGGGACACAATGCATCCTCCAGCAAATATTTGCTTTCTGGCACCATAAAAGATTGATTCAGCCATGAAATAGATTCTTCAGTTAAAATCTCCTTAACTGTAATGAACAAGTTATTGTGTCATTATCCACCACCATAGCTTACAGTATGAA